CCGTCGGGGCCGCGGCGCTCGGAGCTGACACTTGTCCCTCCCGGCCCGCCGGATCCGAGGCGCTGCAGCCCGGTGGTAGCCTGGGCACCTGAGCCGGAGGAAAGCCGGGACAGCTCCGCCCGGCAGAGGCTTCGGACCCGCGCTCGGAGCGCCATGGCTGCGAAGCTGCTGCTTCTCCTCTGCCTGTTCTCGGGCTTACACGCTCGGTAAGTGGCTGCCAGGCGTTCCCCAGAGGCCGGCGGGGGCGGGAGGGCGGCGGGGGGCGCTGTCTGCCGGCCGACAGTCCCTGGTGCGCACCGTCCACTGGGTTGCAGGAGATGGATGGTTCAGGCACCTCACCTGTAGGTCTCTCCCAGGACCAGACCCCCCTCTCCAGGGCCGCTGCAGCCCTCCGCCACCTGATGTGTGTGGGGTCTTGTCCAGGCGATTTTAGGATGTGATGGTTTTAAGGGAATTTGAAATTCAGAATGATGAGGCAGTGGCCTTATCTTTCTCATCTCTTCCCCGTGCCAGCTATCCAAGGGCTTACCGACACACATGGGTTAACATTTTATATCCATTCCATCATTGAGAAGAAATCCCAAGACCCAGGAATTCTGTTTTCTCAATCACCCTGTGTTGGAGGGGGCTGGAGCAAGTGGCCAGGAAGAGTCCTGCATCTCCCCCAGCTCCTACACCACATGCAAGCACTTCAGACTCTATAAAAGAATCATGTTGCGGTTCACACGGGCGCTTCTTCCTGAAACTGGGAAATTACCTCACCGTGAATACCCCAAACCAGCACCAGTCAGCTCACAGAAACTCAGAAGCACTCCAGAGGCAGACAAGGGCTCACGAAAAGGGCGGCGGCACCGGAAGGGTTAAAGCCTGTTGCCATAAACACAACCAGAGATGTTGACATGGTTTAATTCCCATCTCCCGGACTGATGCTCTGGCTCCAGCCTGTAGACTACCCTGAGCTTGGGAAATCCCTGACTGCATTCCCTACCCTCACCCTAGGAGTCAGAGGGCTCCCCATCCCTTCCAGAGAGCACACTTGTTTGGACATTTCTCAATTTCCTGAATCAGAAAGCAAATTAGAAAGCATCCATCCCTGTGGTTCACAGGTCCTGTAGCCCTCACCGGTTCCATCCTCCTTCACATGTGTGAAATACCAAAGAACTATGAGATCTCCTCAATAACTCCCCAAAACTGTGAGAGGAGGGCTTCCCAAATGTTTTCTCCAGCTAACCAAGGCCCTTACCCTAAGGATGAAACCCCCGTCCCTGTCCCACAGGGCTTGTCCTTACTGAGTTAACACTGGAGACTTGAACACTCACTCAGGAAGGGGAGGCCTCTCCACCAAAGTTTCTTCTTGTCCAAGGAGGCAGCTAGAACATGCAATGCACAAGTGTGTTTTGAAGGGGATTGTGTCTGGAGGGACCTTGGTTCAGAGCAGACACCACCAGAAGCATCAACAAGGCTGCAGTCACATCAAGAAGTCCCTTCCTATAGCCAGCACCCCAGAAACCTGGCTTACAATCTGGGGTTGGATCATGTGTGTAGATTTATAGATAGTTGCAGTTCTGCAAGAAAAGATGCCAGGTTCTCTCGTCATTCTGTGTACGACCCGGGAAAGGTGGAGCAGTCTGGTTTCTGCAAACTCCCAAACATGAGACTCTCTTGGGAGACCTCATCTTTCCTTCCCAGCCAAGGTACATGTACTGATGTTACATGTTCTCTATCAGAGCCTTCAGCCGTGGCAATTATAATTGCTTATCAGCTTCAAAGAATCCGTTTGGTGCTTATTTTATTGATGTATGTCTCACCTTAAATGGTGTTTACTTTTTAATGGATTTAGTGTCTCTGAGAGGATTCTATTCAGCATTCAAGAGTCCCTGCTGGTATGGATGCTCCCTATGTAGACTCTGACAGGATCCCTTGTGTCTCTGCAATGGGAGAGCCTTCCCCACCCCTGGTACCCATGACAGAGCTTATTACACGGGAAAACGTGGCACCTCATTTCAATGTTTGGAATATGCTTACTAATTTCCTAGGTTCAGGGATTTGTTTTAAAGTTGAAAACTCCTTTGGAGGTTGCTTCTGTCATTCTGATGAAGAGAAGGTGTATGAACAGAAGGAAATGTCTGGGGATTGAGCATGCGCTTGCTTTACTTTTAAGGAAAAGCTAATTGCAGCAATGCTGTTTAGGAGGCAGCAATCCAAGCAACAGAGTGCTCAGAAGGTTATATATAACCCATGTAGAATTCTGAAGAGAAAGGAAATCCCATTCCATCCACCTGCTAGTGGGTCCTCTGAGGTGAGACTGGTTTTCTTCAGGGCACAGTAGAGGGGGAGGGTTCATCTCCTGGACTGGGCGAAGCACAGTGCTGGCAGCTGAGGAGCAAGGACCTCCCAGGCACTCTGTGCCAGCTCCATAGCTGTGGTTCCACGGAGGAGAGGAAGAGAACGTGTCTGCTTTCCCAGCCCTTAACCCCAGCACTCCCTTCTGCCCAGCCACTCAGGAAGAAGCTTATGCAATTTCAGGTACCGCCTCTGACCACTAGAGGGAGAATGAGACTCCTTATAATACCCGCCCTTGAAGTAGCGGGCTTTTCTGGGACTGTTCAGGGTCTAGGAGTACAGTTAGCAGGGAGGGCTGAGTGTACTGACTAAGCACACGTGACTGATGGGCCAGTGAGGACCGTAGGTGGAGCTGTAGACCCAATGCCTCTGCAGTGGTGGAGACAGCAGGGCAGGAGGCCCCCCGCAGGGCAGGAGGCCCCCCGCAGGGCAAGAGGTCACCAGAGCAAGACAAGAAAGGGAGGAAGGAGAAAGACAGGCGTGTAGCAGGGCACTGGGGAGGCCTCGTTTCACTTGGAGGAGCTAGCTACCCAATTTCACAGCCCCCAAGTATCTTTGTTCAAGGATGATTTGTTAGGTCCTAAAGGCAGTGTGTGGCTATCGGCTGTCCAGATGACTCGTGCTTTTTCTTGTTTTGGTTTGCTTTCATAAGACCATGGTATTAACATTGCTGATACAGCTTTCGACTACAAAAAACCCCTGGACATTTAAAACTTCTGTATACAGTACAGAAAAGGTTGGAAAAGGAAAGTGACATAATTTTATTTTAATAAAATTAAAAAGAAATGGATCTGGGGTCTCTAGAAGATGACCACACAATCCAAACTATTTCTGTAAGACACAAAATGTTTCACATTCTTTGTACAAATGCCGTTTCACAGCTAGTGAAGTGCATTCCCCTTATTGGGTGGAGACACCAAATATCCCAAGTTCCTCTTGGTGGTGAACGGCTCAGCTTCGGTAAAAAGCCACAACAGTGTTGGCATCTGTGGATGGCTTATTTTAATCCCCTAGCTTGTGAGTTATTCATGAAACAGAATTCACTTTCAGATCAGTTTAGGAGAAGCTTAATTGCAAAAGCTATTCCGTGCGGGGCGCCATCCTGTCCAGCAGGAATGAACCCCACCAAAAACGAGAATTCCTTCTCTGGTCACATCTTTATTTGGAGCATTCCCTTGAGGAAAATTGGGGGAAGGGACGATAGAGCAGGGACGAGAGAAAGCTTAGAGAGAGGAAGTAGGGTCCCGAGGCATCTGCTTTTAAACGGTGGAGCGGCTTGAACGCTGTCCTGATTGGTTAATGCCATTCTGCTGGTCTGAGCATGTGCAGGCAAGGGTGCAGGCAGGGGTGCTCAGCCCCACATGGCTACCTCCAAACTGCAGGACCACCTGTGCCTCCAGGTGGCTCCCAACAATTCCGCAAGACTCATTATCAACATCTCACATTCACGTGGCTCGCTGCCCTTCCTTGTCCACACCTTCCTCACTTGCGGCTCTGAGCAGCTGTTGATCGGAAACATAGTCCCGAACATGGCCAGCCGTCTTCTTTCCCTCATTCCCTAGCCAATACCTTGTTATAGCTGTTGACATAGCAGCTGTGTTGAACTGGTCACCTGGGAACGATCAGAAGCATCTGTGGACATTATGTGTAAATAAAGCAGCATTACATGTGTGGACTTCACCATCTTCAGATCGCGGTGGGTGCCGGGAGTCCCTCGGGACCCATCTTCAGTAAAGACAGGACAGCAAGGCGCGGATTTGGGTTTAGACTGCTTGACCTGCCAGCTGTATCTTCTTAACACGCGCAAGGCTGATGCAAATACAAGCTGACTTGTACGTAAACATTTCTGTTTGCCTCTGAAGATCTCAGTGAAAACGAGGGGCTGAACTTCTAAGTGACCATACTCTTCACCAACTCCAGTTCAGGAAACTGACATGCCCGAGGACATGCACCTTGGTGTGGGGCTCACAATGGACGCCTGTCTGGGATTCATGACAGAACAGAACTGCTCTTATACCCAGTGGGAACAAATCACTCTGATTGTACCCCCTGCCACCTTCTTGTAGAAGAATGACATCGAGGCGCACACAAAGACAAAGGACAAGGGTTTTGTTTCTTAAGCTCTTCTCACATTCAGGAGCATCCCGCGTAAGAGAAGTATTGCATGAAGGTTGATACTCTTTTCTCCCAAGCCGCAGGTGCTGTGACTGGGTGGGCCTCACTCACTGAGAAAACCTACTGTTGTCTTAGGGTCTCTCCTCACTCTACAGAAAGGGCTGTGGTGCTTAGCAGAGCTGGATAGAAGAAGGTCAGAGACGTCTAGGCCCTCATTTGGATCCACTTAAAAGCTTTGAGTGTTGAAGACATACTAGAAAATATTTAATTCAGAAAGCCTGCTGAGAAAAGAGATGAACCGGTTTGGGTGATCAAGGTATAAATGGCCAGAGGGCATTCTGCGCTCATCAACGAACACATCTCCTGGCCGTCCCCCTTGCTGAGTGCCAGCAAATTAGGCCACCTCGGAATGCCCACACGGTTGTCTCCCAAAGCCCAGGCCACAGGGCAGGCACAATCAGAGTCAGCTGTTTTCAGTGAGTCTGCTCTGTCAAAGCTCCTCCCTCCCTCCCTCCTCAGTCTTGGTGGTGGAACTTAGAAACAGCACCACAGAGTACGCGGAAGTGTGACTGACTTGAGCAGGTGAGTTAGGTGCCTATTTCCTGTCAGCCAGTTTGTCATCAACTTACCCATTGCCCTGTGTCTAGTTTATCTTGGGCAGGGCTGTTCTGTTCATAGCAGTTGTCTTCTTCCTGTGGGACGTTTCCTATGTGTGTTTTGTTTCTTTAAGTTTTACAGGCACCGTGTATGAGTAGGCCAGCAGTACCAAGGACGTCCCACTCCCTGTAGTTGCACTGGGAATGGACAAGTCTGAGGAATTTTCTGGAAATGCTGCAACTTAGGTGTCTCATTCCGTTGTAACTGCAGGTCCAGGAGGGTGGAAGAGGATGAAAGTGAAGACTCTCCGTCAAACCAGAAGTGGGTCTTGGCGCCCAGATCACAGGACACTGACGTGACGCTGATTCTCAACAAATTGCTGAGAGAATATGACAAAAAGCTGCGGCCGGACATTGGAAGTGAGTGCCCGTTTGTTATTCCGATACAAAAGACACTCTGACAGTATGTGAATTTAGAGTTTTCATAGCGAATAGTTACAAATGCAGTGTTGCTAACCTAGTGTGATTGGGTCTGCAATGTTCGTCACAGTTTGAGTGATAGGAAACCTGAGAGACTGGCCCTGGTCTGCCAGGTGGGGAACTGTATTTCCCATCATAGCCTTTGTCATCAACTTACCCGTCACCCTGTGTCTAGTTTAACTTGGGCATGGATGTTCTGCTAACAGCAGTCGTGTCCTTCCTGTGAGGTGTTTCCTAATGTATGTTTTGCTTCTGTAAGTTTTACAGACAGCATGTTTGAGTAGGCCAGCAGTACGGAGGACGGTCCGCTCCCTGTAGGAGCACTGAGAATGGACCAGTTCCTCAGTGAGTCCTCTGGGCTTGCTGCGTGTGTATCCTTGTCACCAGTGCGTGTCTTCATGGCAATGGATACCCTTGCTATTCCCTCTTATCCAGGGTGGTCTGTGAAAGCTTCGTTCTGCTCTTTTCCTGCTGGGGTTGAGAGCTCCTTGCTGGCTGCTTCCCGTCAGATCTGCAGCGCGCCTTCATTCTGCCCTCAGGCTCTTTCACGGGGTGGGGGTGGGGTAATGTTGGTGCAGCTTCTTGGCTGTCCTGTTAGGAAGTTTCTCAGAACTCTTTCGATGGGGCTGTTGTTGACGGTGCTCATCAGATCGTCAACTTTCGTGTGACCGTCGCCAGAAAATCCCTCCCACTTTCCGAGTCCAGGACTGCGGTTTATCTGTATTGGGATCCGTAATTGCTTTGCTCTAACTGGCGTGGGATTTCAAAATATTTGTGGTTCGTGCAGGAGAATTTAAAGGTGTGTACCCACTGTGATACTGGAGAAGCCATGTCAAATTTCCACACGTCCCTTCTTGTATGCAATGATGAGAAGTACCACACTTCTCGAACTGGCTTCCAGCTTTGAACATATTTGTTCTGTTCACTGCAGCCGGGATGTCTAGAGATGACGACCAATGCTGGCCTGGATGCAGGAAATGGAAACACTTATTTACTCTTAGTGTGGGTACAAGCTGGGAGGTACAAGCCGTGGAGATGGGAAAATAGATCTACCACATGATGTGGCTCAACGACCCCTAGGTTTCTACCCAAGGACTGGATGTCCTACTGCCCAGATGACCTGCCCTTCTGTCCGTAGTCATTGATCCTCTGTTCGTAAAAGTCAGGGAAGAAGAATAGTCAGGAACTGGCGAATAAAAAAAAATGCAGTACATTTATGCAGTGGACTATTGTTCATGTATTAAAAAGTGAATATATGAAGTTTTCAGGTAAATAGACAGAGCTAGAAATGTTCATTCTGAGTAATCCAGATTGGAAAGACAAACATCTCATATTGTCTTTCATATGTGGATAGTAGCTTTGATTATTTAGATCAGCATGTTAAGTTGGAGTAACTCCAGAAGCGAGGGAACTCTACGTGAATGTGGGGAGGGCAGATTTGAAGAGGAGGGGCTGGAAGGCAGGTTTGGGACAAAGGGGACCAGAAAATCATGAGCTAGGAGTGGTTAAATGATGTGGAGGATGGGAGGGTAGAGTGGGAGGAGGGAGTATGGGAAGGGTCAGTAACTCTAAGGAGTTTAGAAATCTACTACTAAAGATCCTTCCTAAATACACACAAGCATACGCATAAAAGGAAATTAAATGGTTTTACCCTATAACTTGGATGTTACATCTCCCACACATTATAAGCTATTAAATAAAGAGCCTGGCACCAGACATGGGTTATTTCTTCTCTGGTTGTTTCAGTGAGGTCCCATAGACACTCCTCTTGGCATTTTAAGATCCCGACATTGCTCCTGGTTATTCTTCAGGGCTTGGTGGTAAGACAGTTGCTGCAGACACCACATACATCAGCCATAGCATGTGGAGAGATCAAGCTACCACACACCAGGAAGCTTCATTCGTACTGGCTAGGATTCAGAGAGCTGGAGAGTCCTATGCAGGTTGCCCTGGAAGAAAAGTAATGCACACTCTTGACCATATGTGAAGCCCGGGAGTACAGTAAGGACTGGCCTAGAAAGATATGGCTACTTGTGCACCCGTGGAACAAAGATTATGTAGTAACCAACAACTTTCTGATTGGACTTGAAGCCAGGTTGAAGCTTTTTCAATTTCTAAATTAATTTTAAAACAACTTGGAGTTCATGCCTGATGCCTTTAACTGAGCCTAAAACCCAAGTCTGGCTATGCCCTGTGGTTTAAATGGAAGTGGTTCAAACCTATAGGCTCATATATGTGAGTACTTGGTCTTCAGGTGGTGGTTGTTTGAGGAGGATTAGGAGGTGTGGCGTGCTGGAAAGTGTATCACTTGGGGGCAGGCTTGAAGTTTTAAAGACTCATGCCATATTTGTGTTCGCTTTCTCTCCTTTGTGTTGCCGGCTTCCTCGGTGTGGGCCAGAACAAAGACAAACGTGCAGTTCTGGAAACGGTCCATCGTGGTAACACACTCTCTGGGTTGAGGACATTTTTAGGCAGGAAGTGGGCCTGCTCGGCTTCTCACCCCGACCTCTGTCACCCTTCTGAAAGGTCAGTTATCACTTGCTGTTCATAGAAAGTTTGAGGAAGCCTATTCTCTCTCTCTCTCTCTCTCTCTCTCTCTCTCTCGCACATGCACATGCACAAGCACACATACACAATGCTTGGATGGCAAACAGGGAGGTCCTCTCTGTGCCATAGGCAAGCTACGTTCCCATTTCTACAGTTTAAAATAGCTTCCTCTTTATCCATGTGAGTTTTATTTCAGGCCCCTCGATGTCTTCCTGAAAGCACTCATGATATCCTGTCCTACAGAGGACCTATAATAACCTGCGATAGGATTTAATTAATAAGGCAGTGTAAGAACTTTACAACAGTAACACATAACATAGCCACGTGGTAGCAACATACTGTGATACATATTATGTAAACACACTCTCAAAATACCTTCCTGTGCTGGGTTCACCTAATTTTCGATGGTGGCTGACTGCAGGAAGCTGGAACCATAGAAAGAGGCCATGGGTTGGGGGAAGGCTTCCTGCGGAGTACATAAAGAACTATGGATTTTTCACAGGAGAAGGGCCCTGTGGTTTTGGAGTGAAAGGATTTCACAGAAGAGTCAAGTGCAAAGTCACAAGGCAGGATGCTTCTCTGTGGCTTCAGAGTCTGAAGCCCTCCTGTTGCTGTCCTCTGGTTCTTGGGGAAGCTCAGTGTCCTGATAAAAGTCCTCATCCCTCATAGGCTTGTGGGTGCATCTTCCTTTCTCAGCTGAATACTAAGTCACATTTGACTAGCAAGCTCTAGCAACTTGCTGATACTCAGTAAGAGTAAACTGCCTAAGAACAGTTCTCCTGGGAAGATACTGTGTATGTATTTTCTTTCCTGGCTCAGAGGGCTCTGCTTTGAAGGCCAGTTTATCACAAAGATCAGCATTGCTTTTCTGTTGTCATGATTTCTGTTCAAGTTTAGTGCACTTTACCGGTGGTGACCATTGCCCTACCCTGTCACAGTACAGCAGGCGATGCTCAGCTGAGATGCTGTCGACCAGTTTGCTGTTAGCTCAGCGGAGCACTCAGTTGACCTGCTAGCTTACTTACCCTTCGACACCCCCTGCCCCCTGCCCAGTTCTTAGCGTGTTTTCTGTGTTCTCTATACAAATTCATGCAGTGGTCATCTGGAGAACAACATGGACCTGCCCATACTACATTGCGCTGTTACAGGTGAAGGAGGAGACAGGTCCCCCAGGCAGCTCTGAAGAGAGGCTACAGGCATTGCCACCAAGTTAACTAAACTGTTTGGATTGGAAACTCTTGAAGATTCTACTCTGCTTCTAAAAAGAAGTCTAGGGCCTTGGGAAATACATGAAAAAAAAACTATGCCCTTGCCTGCTCGCCTACCTCTCTACCTCCACTGTATTCTGTGTGACATGTTCAGGGATGTTCGCTCACGTGGCTTCCTTGTGTGGCTTCTGTTGCCCTGCTTCCCTAGCTGTACCTCCCTGCTTCTACTCCAAGCTCAACGGCTCTTCCTAATCTTACCTCCTGAAGGCACTTTCCTTTAGAGAACGACCCTCCTTTACCTTCCGACTGGAGTAAGCCAGGAGTCTCTCTCTTGAGTTTTTCATAGCGTTCATCCTTCACATGTAGTTGCTGATTTTCCGAGCGCCTACCGGAGGACGGCTTGCTGTGGTGTGGCCATGGCACCCTCCTGTAGCATGATTACATGCTTTTAGTAGTTTTTGGTTGAACGTTGGTGTTTTCTGTTTCAAGGCAGTTCCACTTCCAAAATACAGATGCACTTCACACGTTCTCTCTCTCTCTCTCTCTCTCTCTCTCTCTCTCTCTCTCTCTTTCTCTCTCTCTTTCTCTCTTTCCCTCTCCCTCTCCTTTCATTCCCCACGCTACCTATCTACAGCTCCAGCACCCAGCACGGTCCACACGATAAACTCTCCCCGGCATCGTTGTCCGTCCTAAAGAGATGGACATGGATCTGCTGATGCCGCAGACTCCCTTGATTACTTTCCACGTCACAGATTGTGATCATTGTGTTTATACCTGTAGTTCATAGTGATTCTCTCTGTTAAATCCTAAACTATGGATAAATCTGTTGCAGTCTCTTGGCAATCATCCATCATTTTAAGTAATGCTAAAGCCGTGTCCTCCATCCGTCTAGGGCCACATAGGATACCATTGTCTGAGGAGTAGATCTTGTCCTATGAGACGGGAAAGGCTACAGGGAGATAAACTTTCCAACAGTATAATTGTGGAAAAGAAGGTAATGACTGAGGTAAACTTGTGGTAGGGATTTTAAGATGTTTGACCATGTCTCACAGTTTAGATTATTAGAGGAGAAATTAGAGCGCAAATGACATTATAGTCATGTGGGGGGAAATGAAGTTATGTATTATTATAATGTGTGATGACAGAGGCAATGGGTAGAAATGACCACAGGAACCTTTCACATAG